AATGACACCATTTTTAGTTTGCATACAAAAAAAGATGGTGAACTGGATTTGCCAATCTCTGCTCTACCTAGTTTTTCTATTTCAAAAAGACATACTACAGTCTTTACTGTGATGCAGATTCATTTGTTCATTTTTTTAAGGTTTTATTTATTAAGTAATTTCTACACCCAGCATGGAGCTCGAACTCATGACCCTGAGATCAAGAGTCACACATTCCTGCAACTGAGCCAGCTAGGCACCCATTTATTTTTTAATAGTTTTTCTTCATAGGAGGTTTATTGTGTCTGTTTTATCTTCTTGGTGAATGTTGCTTTTTACGAGTATAAAACTTTCTCATTTTAAAATTTTTATTTAATTTATCTAAAGGATTCTTTTTTGGCTAGAATTTTATGACATCCAAGAATGATACTGCCATTCCTGCTTCTCTTTTGTTCATGCTAGCCAGTATTGTGCAAGAGCGTAGTCTGCAAACCACATTAACTCCCAATCCACAGTAAAACAAAGAAAATATTAATTTTTATCTTGGGCTTGATTTTTCAATAACTTTCACTGTGAATGTTTTAAGGCAATTTCACTTGGCTACCTTTCTTTTTGTGCATATGTTAATGTTCTAAAGCTAAGATAATGCTATCCAGAACTATTAAGTGTGCGTTTATATATTCTCATGGTTCCTATTGTGTCACTGTCAGGGGGAAAACCCTCATCCCAGCTGCTTTTGGGTCCAATGCTTGGAAACTAACGATAATTGATACTAATAGGATTTCTTAAGTTATCTTCAGTTTATCAAATATCTAATTAGGAGAGGATAGTTCCTGTTTTGTAAATAAAGGGGAGGAAGCTGTTAACATTTGCTGACACATTACATTGGCAGTTTTTGAAGAATAACCCTCTGAAATGGGACACCTGGGTATCTCAGGCAGTTAAGTGTCCGGCTTTGGTTCAGGTCATGATCCTGGGGTCCTAGGATCCTAGAATTGAGCTCTGCCAGCTTCGTCTCATCATGTAGGGTTTCCTGCTAAGCAGGGAATCTGCTTCTGCCACCCACCCCGCCCCCCACTCCTGCTCCTGCTCTCATTCTCTCAAATAAATAAAATCTTAAAAAGGAAAACCAAAAGTCTGAACTGCTGTAAGTTATAATAAAAATAAGTTTTCACAATTGTTCCCTTTCTGTGCTTCTTTAGTAGTATAACATTGTTTATATTGTGTGCAAGGTCAAAAAGGTATGGTCACTGCTTTGCTAGTTGAGAATTTACAATATAATTTTTAAAAAAAATCTCTTAAATATCTATTTCAAGTTGCATTTTATAATTTTGTCTATATAGCTTTATTACATAATAATATGGCCTTATTATAAAAGCCTTAGATGAAAAAATGTCTCCATAATTGTCATTTTTAGTGGTGGGCAGTTATAAAAAATTTAAAAATTACTTTTACACCTACAGTATTTGGTTGTGTGTCAGATTTTGTGTTCTCCTTTTTAAACTTTTTATGAATCAGGGTTGAAATTTAATAAGGAAGACTATCATGCTACTTATCTAGGTAATTCTTTGTATATTACATTTTTAAAAAATTAAGGTATAATTAACATTTAATATTATACTAGTTTTAGGTGTGTAACACAATGATTTGGTATTTGTATATGCTGTGAAATGATCACCACTATGTCTAGTTACCATCTGTCACCATACAAAACTACAAAAAAATTTTTTTCTTGTGATGGGAACTTTTGGTATTTACTAACTTTCAGTACTTTTTTTTTTTTTTTTAAGTATTAGAGCATCTTATTTACAGGGGAAGGCTTTCTTTTCCTCATTTTCTTTATTCCTCTTTGCTCAGTTTCATAGCACAATTTTGATTTGTTTTCCAAAGGGTGTAGGTCAAGGGAGCTACAAATCAGATGAATAAATTTTCATATTTTGTTTTATGTATATTCATAGAGGTATCTGGCAGGTACTTTAACAGTGCATTCTGCAAGTGATTCCAGTGCTATACACCCAAGTGGTATCGTTATTTGCTTTTCTCTTGAAAAACCTCCTTTTCTTCCCCTTTACTCTCTCTTTCTTGATGCCAACAAGTGTTTCAAAACAGGAAAAGGCTTCTCCTTAAGAGGTTGTCTGCTGTGGGGAAATTCTTTAGCAGATGACTTATGAAGAGTAGAAAAGTTAATGTTTTCTTCACAAGTTCATCATGTGTTGCTTGGGCACTTTTTGTTGATGTTGTTTTTGTTGACTTTTTTGAGTTGTGGGCACTTGTCTTATTGAAATAGGCAAAAGATACAGGAGGTAAAACATAGCTTCAGATATTATGGTATCAGTCATTCCTGATATGTGATACTTAGAAATACAGGAACCTTTTTTAGATCTTTGGAAGAGGAGACAATAGATAACTCAGTGTGTATGTGTATATATATTATATGTGTGTGTGTGTGTGTGTGTGTGTGTGTGTGTGTATTCACTTTTAGGCACCAAATAAATGGAAATATTTGGTATTATAAATTCTAGCACAAATGGTTTACCAAATCATTCTGATAATTTCCAAATCTTACATTGAGTTTTGAAATTGTTGATATGGTCTTTTATTTTGCTTAGCTTTTACTAGTTTTAATGAATAAATGCTTGAGTTATAACTTGACAAAATAAATTTCATTAAGTGACTTACCCACTAAATTGATAGTCATTAAATAACTTGGAGTTTCAGTAAGTAGAGACTGTCTCATAGAATCAGCAATATTTATGGTGCTGAATCCTCTCTCAGCTCCTAAGAGCAGTTATTTTCAAAAATATTTTCAGGGGTGCCTGGGTGGCTCAGTCAGTTAAGCATCTACCTTTGGCTCAAGTTCATGATCTTGCGGACCTGGGGATCGAGCCCTGTATCAGACTCTCGGCTTAGGGGGGATTCTGTTTCTCCCTCTCTTTCTCTGCCCCTCCCCCTCCACTCATGCTCTGTCTCTCATTTTCTCTCTCTCAAATAAGTAAAATCTTTAAAAAAATGTTTTCAGCCCTTGTGATGATATGAAATTTTGTGAATACCTTATTTAGGCCATAGTGGACACAGTGGGGTACTTAAGATAACATGCTCTTTTGTTGGAGTGCCCAGGATTCAAACCTGTTCAGTTCTGCCAACTAATTAATTATAAGCTGGTAGGTAGGGTTGAGATGGAAACATTTTGGAGGGTTGACTAGTGCAGTGTAGGGAACCAAGTAATCAGAAAGGATGCCATTTATGGATGGAGCATCTTGAAAACCCCTTTTAATGCCAAAAACTCTTGATTTGTTGGATACTAGAGAACCTTCCAGGGGTTTGGGCAACAGCTAATTAGCAACCACATTAAAAACACTTCAGTATTTTAGCAACTAACATATCTCTACTAGGGCATATGGCTGAATATTAGTCTGGGTTGTATGTTAGGCAAAGGAAAGAATGAAATTCAGACTAACCTGCCCCTGGTAACCCTATGTCACTTAAACTCCAAATATCTGCCCATATGACAAAGCTATGTATCCTGTTATCTCCTGGTTTCTGTCCTTCCCAGTCTGTTCATCTTGTTTTGTCTGTCTGCTGCCTGAAACATCTTGTCTTGGTATTACTTGAAAATAATAATTTAAAGGGTTAATCTAGGACTAGTTGGTGTCACAAAATTAGTGGTTTATTCGGAAGTAAGTCTTGCCAGTAGCGTCTTTGGAAAACAAAGGATAAAAATATCACTGCACATTTGAATTTTCCTAAAGTTGCTTTGGAGTGTTTCTGTGGGATTATTTAGCTTGCCAAGGAATTTATTCCTTGTATTGGATTTATTCCTTGGTATTGGATTTACCAGTTGTATTAGTTTCCTGCAGCTGCCATAACAAAGGATACAAACTTGGGTAGCTTACACAACAGAAATTTATTGTCTCACGGTTCTGGAAGTTAGAAGTCCAAAATCAAGGTGTTGGCTCAGTTGGTTTCTTCTGAAGCCTGTGAAGAAGAATCTTCTATTCCATGCTGAGTTGCTAGTGGTTTCCTGACAATCTTCTGTGTTGCTTGGTGTGTAGATGCATCACTGCTATCTCTGCTTTCATCTTCAGATGGTGTTCTCTCTGTATCTCTTTACAGTCTTCTGTGTGTACTTGTGTTCAAATTTCACCTTTACATAGGACACCAGTCATATTGGATTAGGGCCCACCCCAGTGACTTCATCTTAACTTGACTATGTCTGTAAAGACCCTGTTCCCAAAGAAGGTTACATCCTGAGGTACTTAGGGGTTAGTACTTGAACATATCTTTTTGAGGAGATAAAATTCAAACTATGGCTACTAGTATATTAAGGTTCTCTTTTTTGTTTCAATCATAGGAATTTGAGGATAACTCTCATATTGGTTTTTATCAGTGTTGATTTCTCTTAAATATTTGAAATTTCTCTTAAATTCTAAGCACATTTTTTCTAAATTATGTAATTTATACTGGAGGCCAGTAATCACCCAACCAGATTATACCTGTTTAAGTCCTGTTTTCTATAAATATGTTTACTATTTTGTGAAAGTATTTTTGCTTTTGAAAGTTTAATGTAAATAAATCTGATGTGATAGGTGACAATTTGAAGTCTGTATGCTACAGGTACTAATTTTTATTTCCTTGTGGAAACCTTTCATATAATGTTTGTCTAGTCTAACCATGGCACATTTTCTTATTGTACTTCTTCCTTAAGCAGTGAGTGTTTAATCTCTCATTTCCTGAAAGTTTCCACAAGATAATGAGAATAAGATCTTATTTATAGTGTTAAAATAAACCAGATTAAATATTCTATTGTCACCAGTTATTAGACTTGTACTTTTACTTCACTTCCTTGAAATTCTTCCAAGTTATGTTGTATTCACAAGTATGATTTCAGACAGTCTTTAAAAAAAAAATCAAAGGGAGAGTTCTCTGTTTTTAATGAAAATCATTGGGAAAGTATTAGATACTGTTGAAATATTCCTTTTAAACACTTTAAGTATACTAATAGTATAAATATATTTGTGCAGGTTTTGACTGGATTGTCTCGTCAAAGTTATTCACCTTCTGGCTATCAGGATTTCAGTAAATGGGAATCAGTGCTGAAAATAAAAGAAGGACTGCTAAGGCAAAAAGAAATTGTAATTGATCGGTGAGTCTGTTTTTTTTTTTATTACTAAATATTTTAGGCATACAGAAATGTAGATTATGAAAAAATACCTTTGTATCCACTACTTAGAGTTTAAGAAATATCATCTTACAAATACAGTGATATCTCATGTCTGTCCCTCCCTCATCTCACCCCCTCTACAAACCTCTGTGAACCTCTGTGAGAACAGGGTTGGTCTGTTGGTTCATCTTTCTGTTTTCTACCACCCTCCTGTTTACATTAGAGTAACTCATTTGGAAACTCCTTTATGTCTTTATACATGTAGAAAGTTAGTTGCAATGCTAATGAATTATCAAAGATACAAGGTGTATCTTTGTGTTTTACACTTGGAAACTATCAAATTAGAAAATTACTTTAAAGTGCTAATACTTTAACTAATGTATGTTAGATCTGAAGATGCAAAAACTATGAACATCATGAATGTTTAAAATTAAATGACTTACAGGTAAACGTTTTAGAAATTTTGGGGGACAGGCCAAAAATTTTGCATTTTTGAGTACTGAGGCTTCGAAAAAAAATTTTTTATTCTTAATAGACAGTCTTCTGATTATTTTGAGCAATAAAGGTTAATATTGCTTAATTATATTACCCTTGATGTATATTGGTTCTACATAATTTATGTATACTTTAGGGATAGTTAAACTTGTATATCATGGTAATGGGGAAATCATTTGAGGAGGTATTTTTTTTCTTAATGTTAGTTATTGTTTATTTTCATATGCTTATATGGCATAAGGTAGTAGACATTTTAGTATTAAAATTAAATCTTAATTCAAACATTTAAATGTATTTAAGAGTCAAAATTTTGAAAGATTTTGTTTAAATATTTACCAGTATTAAGCAGGACCTACTGGAGTAGCATTTGAGTGGCTCAATTGGTTAAGCGTCTGCCTTGCTCAGGTTGTGATTCGAGGGTCATGGGATAGAGCCCAGCATTGAGCTCCCTGCTAAGTGGGGAGCCTGCTTCTTCCTCTCCCACTCCCCCTGCTTGTGTTCACTCTCTTGCTTTCTCTCTCTCTGTCAAATAAATAAATAAAATCTTTAAAAACAAACAAACAAACAAAAACCCTTCGTGAGAGGTGGGGCGGGGGTGGGGGATTCTTCATGCTCACCTGGGAGGAGAGACCACTACTTTGTGAAGTAGAAGCCTTCTTATTTCTGTACTTAATAAATCTTTGCCCCTTTCCCTAAATGGCTTGCCCTTGAATTCTTTCTCACACAAAATCAAGAAGCCTCCTGGCAGTGGGCCTGAGGCCCTCCCTCTTGAGGCTCTGCCTCTCTGGCATCACTTGCATACTTGATAAATGAATGAAGATTCTAGAAGATATGTGATTAATTTTATGAAAAAGCTATTTAAAAATATTAGCTATTTTGCAGTGAAGAGATGGGACGATGGAAGCAGGTCACAGAAGTGATGTTGCTGGAGGAGGGGGGTCGTGAGCCAAGGAATGTGGGTGGCCTCTGGCAGTTGGAAAAGGCAAGGAAATGGATTCAGACCCTACAGCCTCCAGAAAAGAATGTAACCCTGCCAATACCTTGATGTTATCCCCTGAGACCCGCGTTGCATTTCTAATTTACGGAACTTCTGACTAAGGACATGACTGGAAAGAAAGATGTGTACCGAGGCCCAGCCATTAGGGCTCTCTGCAGAATCACTAATGGAATAATGTTGCAGGCCATCGAGAGATACATGCTCCACACTGGTGTCTTCCTTACACATGATGAAGATAAGCCATGATGTGCTTAAGCGCTGGGTCAACAAAGCCCAAGAAGCCGCTTCCAGCAACAACATTATGGTCCAGTACCATGCATTGGGAGTCCTGTATCACCTTGAAAAGAAGGATCGCCTTGCTGTTTCTAAGATGTTGAATAAATTTACTAAATCCGGTCTCAAATCACAGTTTGCTTACTGCATGCTGATCCGAATTGCTAGTCGCTTACTAAAAGAAAATGAAGAGGGCCATGAAAGTCCACTCTTTGATTTCATTGAGAGCTGCTTGTGAAATAAACATGAAATGGTTATTTATGAAGCTGCATCAGCTATCATCCATCTTCCTAACTGTACTGCAAGGGAGTTGGCACCTGCCATTTCAATTCTTCAACTTTTCTGTAGCTCTCCTAAGCCAGCGTTGAGATACGCAGCTGTGAGGACCTTGAACAAGGCGGCAGTGAAGCACCCCTCTGCTGTTATCGCCTGCAGTCTGGACTTAGAAAACTTGATCACAGACTCAAACAGAAGCACTGCTAGTCTGGCCATTACTACACTCCCCAAAACGGAGTGAGAGCAGTGTGGACAGGCTCATGAAGCAGGTATCTTCTTTTGTGTCTGAAATCTCAGATGAGTTCAGGGTGATGGTTGTGCAGGTAATTAGCGCTCTCTGTCAGAAATACCCTCAAAAGCACAGTGTCATGATGACTTTCCTCTCCAACATGCTCTAAGATGATGGAGGCTTTGAATATAAGTGGGCCGTTGTGGACTGCATAATCAGCATTGTGGAAGAGAACCCTGAGGGTAAAGAAGCAGGTCTAGCCCACCTTTGTGAATTCATTGAGGACTGTGAACACACTGTTCTGACTACTAAGATTCTGCACTTGCTGGGCAAAGAGGGCCCCAGAACGCCTGTCCCCTCCAAGTATATCTGCTTTATTTTTAATAGGGTCGTACTGGAGAATGAGGCTGTCAGAGCTGCTGCTATGAGTGCTTTGGCTAAATCTGGGCTCAAAATGAGAATCTTCTCCCAAACGTCCTAGTACTCCTACAAAGATGTATGATGGACATGGACGATGAGGTTCGGGACAGGGCTGCTTTCTACTTGAATGTGCTACAGGAGAGGTAGATGGCACTGAATGCTACGTACATCTTCAACGGCCTTACCATCTCAGTGCCAGGGATGGAGAAAGCCCTCCACCAGTACACACTGGAGCCTTCAGAGAAGCCCTTTGACATGAAGTCTTTTCCTCTTGCTATGGCCCGTGTCTTTGAGCAGAAAGCAGAACTTACACTTGGGGGCCAGTAAGCCAAAGAAGTTGGCTCCTTCCAGGCAAGACATTTTTCAAGAACAGTTGGCTGCCATTCCTGAGTTTATGGATCTGGGACCCTTGTTCAAGTCTTCTGATCCTGTTCAACTTACAGAAGCAGAGACGGAATATTTTGTTCCTTGTATCAAGCACATGTTTACCAATCACATCGTGTTCCAGTTTGACTGCACCAATACTCTTAACGACCAGCTGCTGTAGAAAGGGACAGTGCAGGTGGAGCCGTTGGATTCCTTGAGGTGCTGTGTTGCCCCCACCTCCCAGCCCCCAGCCTCGCTTACAATCAGCCAGGAATATGTAACAGTTTGGTTCACCTGCCTGATGATGATTCAACCTCAGTTGCAGCCACCTTTAGCTGCACCATGAAGTTCACGGTCCGGGACTGCGACCCTGACACTGGGGTTCTGGCTGAGGAGGGCTATGATGATGGGTACATGCTGGCAGATCTTGAAGTGACTGTGTCTGATCACGTTCAGAAAGTACTAAAGCTTAATTTTGCTGCTGCCTGGGAAGAGGTCGGAGATATATTTGAGAAAGAGGAGAATTTTGCCCTCAGTTTTATGAAAACTCTCGAAGAAGCTATCAACAACATCATCACATTTCTGGGCATGCAGCCTGTGAGAGGTTGGACAACGTACCTGAGAACAAGAATTCCCATTCCCTCTATCTGGCAAGTGTATACAGAGATGGCTATGACTTATTGCTGAGGTCCAGGGTGGCCTTAGCAGATGGAGTGACCATGCAGGTGACTGGCAGAAGCAAAGAGGGAACACCTGTAGATGTTATCTTAGCTTCTGTTGGATAAATTTTTACTGGGCAAGATGAAGTCGATGCACACTTCACTGTCAGTGGGTTTTTAGTGGCATGAATTTCCCAGAGTCATACTTTTAAAGATTAATGTCTTTGGAGAAGCAAATTAAATACTTGGCGCTGAGCCAGCAGATCAAGCAAATATATGTCCTCATGCATGTAAATTTTTTTTCCTTTTTTTTTTTTAAATTCACTTGGTCAACTTTGGTATGACAGTACAGCTTTGGGTGATCTTGCAAATCAAATACTATCCTGTACCCCAGCTACTTAAACCTCATTATATTCTTTAATTTAATGTGCATCTGAAAGCTCCTGACAATATTGGAAAGCTTTTATCACAGAGGGGTGGGGGGGGAGACAGAGTCCATTTTTGTCAAAATTCATTTTTATTAATAGAAAATAAACACTTATTCCAGTTTCAGTTGTTATACTTGAAATTGCTAATAAATAATTTAAGGGGCGCCTGGGTGGCTCGGTGAGTTAGAGCCTCTGCCTTCGGCTCAGGTGGTGCTCCTAGGGTCCTGGGATTGAGCCCCACTTAGGGCTCTATGCTCAGCAGGGAGCCTGCTTCCCCCTCTCTCTCTCTGCCTGCCTCTCTGCCTGCTTGTGATCTCTCTCTGTCAAATAAATAAATAAAATCTTAAAAATTTTTTTTAAATAATTTAAAATTTAAAAAAATTAGCTATTTCTAGTACAAGTGAATTTTATATGTGGATTTAGGACCAAATGGATATATATTTTACACCTACATTTTAATTCACTTGAATCATACATTAATTGAAATTAATACATACATTTATCAATACATACTTGAAATTAATACTTTCTTTAAACAGACTAAAATTCAAAATTTTATTAATATGGATGCATTCTCCCTCAGTTAGAATTAATTGGCTTTTATTATTTCTTTGAACATCACTATAATTACCATTCCATTTGGTATAAGTTAATAGGTGTCTTAGTTCATTTGGGCTGCTATAATAAAATACCATAGGCTGGGTGACTTATAAACAGCAGAATTTTAATTCTCCCAGTTATGGAGACTGAGAAATCCAAGATCAAGGCACCAGCAGATTTTTTGTCTGGTGAGGGTCTTCTTCCTGTTTCATAGATGGCTGTTTTCTTGCTGTAACCTC